GAAACTCGCACCGGAGAGTGTACATGCCAAAAGTATCAAAACAGAAGAGTACCTTGTTCACATGCAATGGCAGTAGCTAAGTCGATAACCCTCAGCGCTTACAGTTTGGTTAGTCCTTACTACACGGAACAGGCGATCAGGAACTCCTACTCGTCAAGTTTTAGCCCCCTGCCGGATGAAGCTTATTGGCCTGTAGACAATGGGAAGTTGATTATCCCACCGTTACACTTAAAGCGCACCAAAGGTCGTCCTAGGACCGAAAGGATTCACAATGAAATGGACCAATCACAACGTGTCCGACGGGGTCCAAAGCGTTGCTCAAAGTGCAGACAACCAGGTCATGACAAGAGGCGTTGCCCAGGTCCACCTCTAGAGCAAGATTCGGCGCCAATTCCGAACCAACCTTGATGTTGTTGTTGTTCACTTCCTTGTTTTAATCTTGTTGAGTAGTTTTCGTTGTTGTGATGTTTAATTTGGACTTCTTGTTTTAATCTTGTTGAGTGATTGTAATAAAGGGCGTTTGTTGTTCATTTTGGTACAACATGGGGGTAAAAACCAACCAAATTTAGCCGACATAGATAGTTAATGGAAAACAACACAATCCGAAACCAAATTTAGAAACATAGATAGTTCATGGAAAACAATACAATCCGAAATCAAATTTAGAAACATAGATAGTTCATGGAAAACAACACAAGACCCAAACCAAATTTAGACGACATGGATAGTTCATGGAAAACAAAAAAAGATGAAACTAAATTAGAACGACATAGATAGTTCACTGGTTGTCTTCATTTCCCTCCACTTCCCCTTCTCTTCCTCTTCCTCTTCCTCCACGACCTCCTCGGCCCCTTCTTCCGCCCTCTCTACCTCCTCCTCCTTCTTCACGAGCCCGCTGGACAACTGCGCGCGGATTCCTCTTAACCCGACCACCCACCGGAGTGTAGACAGGTGGTGGGGGTGGAGGTTGCTGAGGTGGACCAGAAGCGTGGTAGAAAGTCGATGATGTATGTTGTTGTTGCGGGGTCTGATACTGAGTAGTTTGTTGCTGATGGTGGAACTGAGGGGTGGCTTGGGTGAACATGTCATGCTCCTGAGTCGGGGCATAGCTTGACGACCCTCCGGTTCCCTCAGTACTAGTCGCCCACTCACAATGTGGCCATGGTTGAGGAAGTTGAGTTTGCTGAGACGGACGAAGCTCTTCAATGTGTTCTCTCACCCTTCTTCTGCTCCTCCGTGGGGGCTCTTGTGGGGGGACAATCCTCTCATCAGCACGGAATGAAGGTCGGGCCGGAGCAGGCACTGGAGGGTATAATATGACATCCCTCCTTTGCTCTCTGGTACAACAGAGCAAGTTGTTGAAAAGCCTGCGCAAAAAAGATGTCTTCCGCTCATCCATGGTGGGTGCACTCTCGACGGTGTGCTTCGCATGCTCCAAACCGTCAACCTAATAAATTGTTGTACAAAATTAACTAATAGTAAATCTAATAATGATTTCTATCATCTAATATAGGCATGTAATCATACTACAAAAATTAACTAACATTAAATCTAATAATGTTAATTAACATTCTAGCTAATATAGGCATGTAATCATACTCCAAAAATTAACTAACATTAAATCTAATATAGATAATTAACATTCTAGCTAATATAGGCATGTAATCATACTCCAAAAATTAACTAACATTAAATCTAATAATGTTAATTAACATTCTAGCTAATATAGGCATGTAATCATACTCCAAAAATTAACTAACATTAAATCTAATATAGATAATTAACATTCTAGCTAATATAGGCATGTAATCATACTCCAAAAATTAACATTCATTAAATCTAATAATGTTAATTAACATTCTAGCTAATATAGGCATGTAATTATACTACACAAATTAAAATAGGCCAAAATGGAATTCACTTACCACTGCGCCCCAAACAGCACCTTGCTTTGACACCCATCTTAGCGTGAAGTTCCGATACCACCGCATGTAGCCATCGTGGTACCCCATTGGCCTTGTCTCCGGCGCCCCTTGGACCACCCACTGATTTCTATTCTCCCATATGTTGATGTAGAATTCATGCTTGCGGGTCCAATCCTTTTTGTTGTAGCGTAGGTCAATGGCGTGGAGCTCCCTGAACCCTTGAGGTGGGGATGCTGGAATTGGTTGCTCCAATCGATATTGCCTCAAAGATCGATCGGGCAGGTGCCACTCCACCATGTGCCAGCAGATTAAGGGCACCTTGCACAACCATGTCTCTTGATCCTCGGGATGTCTAAGACGATGCAACTCAACCACTTCATTTGGATATGGATCCCATACCGCCTACAATCATTATAATTCATGGAATTAGTAAAAATTATATCCACTCCACCTAATAAATTGAAAATCATGACATTCAATATTTTTACCTGGTTCCACCAAGGCTTATCAAATTCAGCACGATAAAACAGTAAAGAGTGCTCGGGCTGGTGGTCGTTTGTATTTGCTCCGATCCACCTAATTAAGCAAAAGTACATATATAAGCAATTTTTAAATTAGCTAAATACGATTTGGTTAGAATAAATCCAAATTCACTTACTTGGAAGATATCTAAATTCACTAAAATACTAGAATTGCAGACCTCAAATGTCTCTAAATCCGCTTAGTTGGAAGATAGCTAAGTTCACTAAAATACTATAATTGCATACTTAAAATTGCATACTAAGTTCACTAAGTTCACTAAAATCTAAATTCACCTAACTAGCTACCATTGCATATCTAAAATAAATTCAACTTAAATTGAACTTACTTGAAACCATATGGGGGATTTGCTACAAATCGTAGCTCATCATCTGGCAACCAGAATTCCCGAGGGTCTTGAGGTGCGAGAAACGGAAGATGCTCCCATGCCCAGAGCTGAAGTATGAACATCGCACCACCAGCTTGTTTCGCTCCCAACCTCGAGCAAGTACACTACTCTCGGTAGATTCCAGCCAAGACGGCCGACCCCCAACTTTTTCTCCCGATCTCATCCCAGTCACCGAGGAGCATAGGGAACCACATGCCTTGTATCCACTTATTTGACTTGTCGGGGAACAGAAACCCACCAACCAAGGCAATTAGGTATACACGTGCATACCGCTCCACCTGATCTTCAGGAGTATCCGGGCCTATATTAACCTCCAATTGGATGTGGTCAACAAGCCACGGGATCGATACTTGCCCCGCATTCAGTGTTGGATGCCCAACCCCTTCGACGGGCGTGGTGGTCGGCATGTTGAACCCCAGACGTTCCTGAATCAATGGACCCAACCATCTTCTGTTTTTCTCGAGTTGTCGATGATGGCATCTCCAGTGATCGGGAGCCCGGTGAGGATGGCAACATCTTTGAGGGTGATCGTCATTTCACCCTCGGGAAAGTGGAAGGTATGCAGCTCAGGGCGCCATCGCTCTGCCATTGCCGTCAGCAGATCGTTGTCAATATCAAGCCTCATAAAGTGCCTCAAATTGTGCAATCCCGCCCTCTCTAGATAGGGATGCAGTCGAGGATGCCAACGGAGCAATCGACATGTCCCTCGATGACTGATGGGAATAAGTGATTCCTACAAAACAAAAAACACAATATTGTCAGTCAATAGAAAGCAAAATAAAAACTTAGAAAGCAAAATAAAAACTTTAAAACTATTGAAATAATTTTAGTGTGTCTACCGGATTATTGTTCCAAATTGAACGAGATCGATGTTGATCTTGCCCGGTTAAATACCTTCGATCCCTTGGGCAAGGATTGATATACAATCTAGGGTCGTATATCTCAGCACCCATCTATAAAAAAATATGAAATCAAATCAATTTAAATTTTAGCACCCATGTAAAAAAAATCACAAAAGAATTAAATAAATTTACGTACTCTCAAAGCCTCTTCGTCCATTTTTTGCCGAAAAGCTAGCGAGAGTATCGACAAAACAACAAAACAAAAACTCTAGTAATTCTTTCTGATGCGGAAGATCGGACTTAGCCGCAACCACAGAGCATACTTAGAACGAAACTAGAGTGAAAAATGGAGGGAGAAAGAAGTATAAAGTGGTGGTGTGGTTTGGAATGAGGGGGGGATGGGTATTTATAGTGTTTGGGGCTGGGAAAAGACCTGGCCAGTTATCACCGCCGCAAACAAACACAGTGCCATCACTGCGTCCAACAAAGGCGGTGATGGGCACGGATAGGTGACGTGGCGGCTTCTGATGCGTCGGATTGTGGAGAAAAACCACAATCCGCGCATAACTGCATCGGATGGCAGCGGTGAAGGCTCGGGGTGGGGCGGATCGCTGACGTGGAAAGCGGGGCTATCACCGCTTTGGTCTTCAGCGGTGAAGTGCCCGCGCGCGTCCACGTCAGCGATCCGTGCCACTTCACCGCTGTTGGATCCAACGGTGAAGGCTTCACTGCTTCCCTCATCAACAGTCATGCCATCACTGTCGTCCTTGACAGCGGTGATGGCATCACTGCTTTGGTCTAAAGCGGTGATAACATCACTGCTTTTGTCTAAAGCGGTGATGTATCATCGTTTTAGACCAAAACGGTGATTAACATCACTGTCTTAGACAAAGACAGTGATGTTGAAACTGCTGTACTTTTAGAATTACTTTTATAAGTACTGTATTTTGGTAATTTTTTTTAATAATTGGTGTATTCTGGGATTTTTTCCCATGAGCTGTTCCAGAAGAAATCAGAGTTTATTGCTCCCATCCTCTCCGGGAAGATGGAATTAAATTCCAAGCAGCCCTTGAAGCCATTCTCGATCCCACCCATCACTTGTATGAAGCCGGAGACCCCACGATTGCAGGTCCAACCAATTTCTCCTTCCCCACCGTCAAGCCCAATTGCATCAGCCCAAAAAAATAGAAGTCGGAGCCCAGTACGGGGACTTACGACTGATCCAATTTTGAAGTAATATTGGCGAGACCAACGCCTGTTTGGACCAACCTATCAATCTTGTATTGGTAGTGGATCTAAGTATCTGTGCTTGGAACATTAGAGGTGCAGGTAGTCAAAAAGCAGCTTGTGTTGGTTAAGGAGTTGAAGAACACACATCAACTCCATATTCTTATTCTAGTGGAAACTCAAGTTAGCGGCACAATAGCAGATACTGCCATCCAATCCTTTCCTTTCTCGAAATCATACCGCTCGGAAGCAAGAGGAAACTCTCTTACATCTCTCTCTACTCAATCCCAGGTTATTCATTTACTCGTTGAAGTTCCGAGAGCATCAGCTTGGATTTTGTTGGCAATCTATGCTAGCCCCAGACCCGTTGAAAGACAGAATCTCTGGGAGGAACTGGTGGGCTTTCTCGAAATCATACCGCTCGGAAGCAAGAGGAAACTCTCTTACATCTCTCTCTACTCAATCCCAGGTTATTCATTTACTCGTTGAAGTTCCGAGAGCATCAGCTTGGATTTTGTTGGCAATCTATGCTAGCCCCAGACCCGTTGAAAGACAGAATCTCTGGGAGGAACTGGTGGGCTTCTCTGACGCCTCTTCCCTTCCTTGGCTCCTCATTGGGGATTTCAATGAAATATCTTCTTCTGCAGAGAAACTCGGAGGAACAAATGTCCCACCTCGACGTTTGTTTCCTTTGGCTCGTAACATCAACAATTGTGGGCTAGTTTATTTCACATGGTGCAGGAGGGACTCACGCTACGGAATCCTCCAAAAACGACTTGACAGGGGAGTTTTTAACACTGATTGGCGCCTTCAATTTCCCGAAGCGTCCATTACTCATCTTCCTCGCGTCAAATCTGATCACTGCCCCTTGTTGTTGCAAACTCAGGGCGGAATTCGTCTACCAAGAGCCAAGCCGTTTAGGTTTGAACGAATGTGGCTGCATCATAAGGAGTATACCCCCATGGTTCAAACAATAATAGCTGCAGCGCCTTCAAATATGCTCCCGCTACTACACAATATCCAAACGAAGTCACTATGCTGGAATAAAGAGGTATTCGGCAACATATTCCGGAGGAAAAGACAATTACTGGCACACCTCCGAGGGATTGAAGTAGAGTTAGCTCGTCAACCGACTGAGATGGCCTGGAGGTTACAAGCTGCCTTGAATGCTGATTACACAGATCTCCTTATCCATGAAGAGATATTTTGGCGAGCCAAATCCCGAGTCCAATGGATTAAAGAGGGGGACAGATGCACAAAGTTCTTCCACGTATCCACCAAAGTTCATAGAAAATGAAACAACATCGAGAAAATAAAAAAGGAAGATGAAACTTGGTGTGAAGAACCGGTTGATGTGGCTGCAGAAATTGTCCATTATTTCTCTAACATCTTCTCTGATGTACCAGGTATGCGCCCTGAAATTTCCCAAGTCCCTAATGTGAAATTATCACAGGAGAAGAAAATGATTTTAGCTGCCCAGATTAATGAAGAAGAAGTTCGACAAGCTATTTTCTCAATGAAATCACAGTCAGCGCCTGGTCCGGACGGTTTCTCTTCACTCTTTTATAGACACTTCTGACAAGATATGAAGGGACAAACTATGGACTTCGTCCGTGCAGCTTTTCAATCGGGCTTCTTCGATCCACAAGTAGCCCAAGCACTCCTGGTTTTAATTCCCAAAATCGACCATCCTCAAATGATGAAACAGTTCCGCCCATCTCCTTGTGTAATGTTCTGGTTAAAATTATATCTAAAGTTCTGGTCACACGGCTAAGGCCATTTCTTGATGAACTTATTGGGCCATGTCAAAGTAGCTTTCTGCAGGACGCTCTACACAGGATAACATCATTGTAGCTCAAGAAATCATTCACTCTATAAAGAACCGCAAAGGTAAAGGCGTAGCAATGGCAGTGAAGGTGGACCTCGAAAAAGCTTATGACATGATTGATTGGCAATTCTTGGAGGATACTCTATGCTTTTTCGACTTTCCTTCCTCATGGGTGCAGCTTATCATGTTCTATCTCCACAACTCTCGAACTGCAGTTCTCATCAACGGGGAGCCCACGGAATACTTTGCCCCAACTAGAGGTTTACGCCAAGGTGACCCCCTATCCCCGTACCTCTTTACTCTTTGCATGGAGCAACTTTCTCTTTTGATTCATTCACAGGTGGAAGCTGGTAAATGGAAAGGAGTAAAGGTTTCGCGGTCCGGCCCTCCCATTTCACATCTTATCTTTGAAGATGATCTATTTCTATTTGGCCAGGCAATTCGACGACAAGCTTTAGCCATCGCACAGACTCTTCGTACCTTTTGTGATGCGTCCGGACAAAGAGTTAACTTACAAAAGTCTGCATTGTTTATCTCCAAATCAGCCTCACCACATTTGAAGCAAAATTTATCTTCTCTTACAGGAGTCCCTCTTACTCAGAATCTTGGGATGTATCTTGGAGTTCCCATTATTCATGGAAGAGTGTCCAAATCCACCTACTTTTTTCTCCTAGAAAAAGTGCAGGATCGTTTAGCAGGATGGAAGTCGAAGCTACTTAGCTATGCTGGTCGGGAAACGTTGGTACACACTACACTCACGGCAAATCCTATTCACCTTATGCAAACAACGTGGCTTCCACAATCGACCTGCAATAGATTGGATCAAATAGGCAGGGACTTCTTATGGAGATCTTCAGATGAAAAACGTGGATTGCCACTACTACGTTAGGAGGAAGTGGTAAAACCTTGGTGGGCCGGAGGTTTGGGTATTCGAACTGATAGAATCAACAACATAGCTATGTTGGGTAAGTTGGTTTGGTCATTATTGGCACAACCACACAAGTTTTGGACACAAGTTCTATCTTGCAAGTATGGACCCCATTCAAATGTGGCCTCTCCTTTGGCTTCGTCGACTTGGAGAGGAATTACAAAAGCTTATTCTCATCTTCGTTTGGGTTTTCTTTGGCGGATTGGGAACGGAGCCAATGTGAATTTCTTTGAAGATAATTGGTTGATGTCCGGCCCTATACAACATCAACTCTCGTGGACTATGAACCAAACGGAGGATTCTATAAAAGTATCTGATTTCATACTCTCTCATGGTGCTTGAGACCTCAATAAGTTGGCTACTCTTCTCCCACTTGAAATGATAAATGCCATTTCTGTGATTCTCCTCTCATTTGGGGACAAACTAGTTCGGGTATTTACTCACCAAAGACAACATGCAAATGGCTATCAAAGCATTTCACTGTTGGGCAGCTAGCTAGCGAGTCTAATTGGCTTTGGATGTGGCGACTCCCGGGACCAAAACGGATCTCTTTCCTCATCTGGTTGCTTTGTCACGAGAGCGCCAAAAGTCCAAAACTATGTACTTCTTGCACTACCGCCACATCCCGATAGCTCCTAATTGTCCCCGCTGTTCTCATCCGACCGAGACGGCTCTTCATGCTTTTAGAGATTGTCGATTTGCCAAATCAAGGTGGGCGGCTATTCTTTCTATTCCTTTTCCATCGTCTTTCACTATGAATATCAAAAGTTGGTTGAAGGAAATGCTTGTAGAGAGAGGGGACAATATTGTGCAACAAATCCCTCTTCGTTTTTGGAGTTTGGCTGTTATTTGAAATATTTGGACAAAATGGAATGCTTTTGTTAATAAAAGGGAGATATGGACCAAGCAACACTTTTGCAAGTGACACATCGTTTGACCCAAGAGATTTGGTCAACATCATCGTCTGCAGAAACAGTCAAACCCATGATTCGTAGTGTAATGTGGAAGAAGCCCGCAGTAGGTTGGGTGAAATTAAATGTTGATGGGTGCAAGCATGATGATCCCGACTCGACAGCCATTGGCGGTGTCATTCGAGACTCGGAAGGGAGATTTATTCTGGGTTTTGCTAATAAGGTGGGTCGTGTCTCAGTTCTTGAAGCCGAGATTAGGGCGTTAAGAGATGGCCTTTCTCTAGCGATAGCATTGGGGTTCCGTAAGGTGGAAATCAATTCAGATTCTAAAGTTGCTGTGCAACTTATATTATCGACAAATATTGAATTTCACTCTCTAGGCATATTATTGGAGGATTGTCGACGTCTTATCAAAGGGGATTGGAACTGTTCACTCCAACACTCTCTCCGCAAAGCTAATCAAGTGGCAGATGCGTCAGCAGAATTAGGACACAATTGTGTGTCGGGAGAACAATTGTGGGCTCATCCACCAGAAGATATAAGAAACATAGTCGAAAATGACCGAATGGAATCCATTTACTATCGGCGATCAGCGCCATAGCTGAACTACTCCTATTGTAGGTGTGTTTATCTTTTAACTATTCTGTTGTACAAAAAAAAGCATTGAAGGAATGATGGGTAAATTGCAAGGTTGGTCACTGGAAGTCCTAAAAAATTCATGTTTGGTCACTAAAAGTATTTTATTGCATTTATGGTCACTGAAAGTGATTAAACGTTTCACGTTTAGTCACTTTCCGTTAGTCTCCGTTGGCACCGTCAATATTTAGCTGACGTGGCTAACAGAAATGCTGATTCACTCATTTTTAACCCGTCACATCATAAATCCGACCGGCCACATCAGCAAAACCCGCCACATCATACAACCTAATCCAACCCATAATCTGGCCCTTCCCTCTCAACTTACCCACCCAACGAAAAAGAATCCAACCTCCAATCCTCCTCCTCCCGCCACCAAATCCTTAACTCCCCCCAATCCTCAAATCCCCCAAAAACTCCAACCTTCAATCCTCCTCCTTTCGCTAATCGACTGGTTTCCCCAATCAACATCTCTCTCCTTACTTCTACTTCTCCGACCACCGCCATAGGTGAAGCCCAAAAGCTTGACGCGGCCCTCTCCACCTACAACTTCTGCTTTCTAATCAATCACCCGAGGAAGGCGGATAGGTAACTAGATGCTACGGCCATGTCGCAGCTGGGAAGTGTGCAAGGCGGCGCTCGAGGCAACATAGTTGTCGCCGATGGTGATGGGGGCAGGGGCCCCAGACTTCGACTTGCCAGATCAAAATCACAGCAAGTATGTCGAGCAAATCAGCGCCGGAGCATCCATCTACCTCTCTGTCGTCCTCGAGTGTCTCGCCCCTGAGGTTCATTACCACTGAATAATTTTTCCCTCTCTTCCCGTAAGCACATTGGGTCAATTAGGAATTTGTTCTTGATGTTGGTTGGAATTTTTTATTGTCTAGGTTTTGGAGCTCATAGGGAACGCAATGAGGGATAACAAGAAGAATATGGGTTATGGGCTTGGATGTTGTCAAATTGGGAGAAATCGTAATTGTAGATCTCCGTGATATTCTTGAACAATTTTGGTACCACTTCGGTGAGATTGTTCAAGGCAAGTTTGATGGTATGAAGCGAGTGGAAGCTTTTGAAGAGACTAGGGATTTGGCCGGTGAGGAAATTGTCGGCGAGGTTTAACTCAAAAATCCTGGTTAGGTTTGATATGTAACTAGGTATTGTTACACTGAACTGGTTTAATTGATTGGTTTGGTTAGGAAGTTTGAGTCATTGGGTTTATGACATGGCGAGTTAAAATTGGGTGAGTCAGCGTTCCTGTTAGCCACATCAGCAAAATAATGACGGTGTTAATGGAGACTAACGGAGAGTGACCAAACGTGAAACGTTTAACCACATCCAGTGACCATGAACGAAATAAAATACTTTTAGTGACCAAACGTGAATTTTTTAGCACTTCCAATAACCAACTTTGCAATTTACCCAAGGAATGATAATTCGGTATAGAATTATAGAAGAATTAGTGTTGCAGGTACAGTCGTACATATATTTTATCCCTTATTGCAGGTACAAATACACCGAAATAGGGACATGGTGGCAACAAAATCACTTGGGTTCAGGCTCAAATCATCTGACAAATTGGTGGCAGATGAGCTTGAAGACGTGCGAGGAGGCGAATGGAAAGAGTTATGGCAATGGAATGGAAGGTGCCAAAATTGGATCAAACACTTCTTTTGGTTGAAACTACACGAAAAACTCCCGACGAACCAAGAGAGAACCTGTAGGAAATTGACAAAGGTGAGCAGCTGCAACTTTCCAGGACGCGAAGAGACAGTAGAATATGCACAGATGGTCCTTGACTATACTACTGCTATCAGTATTATAACTAGCACGGCCCCCGACACATTAGCCGGGGTGGTTAGATCGGGAATATGATATATAATAATGGATAATAGATGCTCGGAAATGTATTAAATGTTTGTCTATGCATCTTGTGTTTAAAATATAATAAAAAAAGGAGAAATAAGTCTAATTATTCAATGAGAAAAGGATTACGCATAACTAATTGTTTCTTAATCCTTAAGTAGACCATATAGTTAAATATTAGATGTGCTTTCCATATAATACATACGTGATCAACCTTAATGATGAATGAAAATGGTTAGTCTCTCATAGAATTTCGAGAGGTTTTTTTTTTTTAGATGAGAGAATTCTTGTTGATCACGGCGTGGATAATGGATATGAAGTTGCAGAATTTGAAATATATAGGACATGATGCAAATTAATTTGTCACTAATAGTTAGTTGAGCAATGTATTTTATACGGGTGATTGCCCAAATGACTCTTAGATCGCAACTGTGACTAGCAACGATCTAGTAATTTCCTACAATATAGTTATTGATAAAATAAATTAAAATAATAAAGATGGTTGAATATAAGATTACAGTGAAGATAGGTCCATGCAAAAAACGAAGATATGCAAACCTCTTACCATATTTGATAGATAATCGAAATGAAGTTAGGTCTACAATTGAACAAATCTTGGCACGTTGTTTGGCAACTTTATAGGGGTCCTCTTGAATAGTATTTCCATTCCCCTTAGTCTAGCATATAGGGATATCATCTACCATAGTTATTTAACTCTAACAACGAGCATGTATATATATATATATATATATTTTATAAGGGTGGTATATAGATTTCATTTTGTTATCATTAAGGTATTACTTAAGGGATTCGAACCTGAGACCTCCAGGTTCTAGGCTAGTGGTATTACCACTAGGACAAATTCTTGTTCGTAATGAGCATGTATATATTTATATTGTGCATAAGAACATTTACTTACGGGTTTAACACATGGTGCAATAAATGATAGTTCAAGTTGATATATGATGTGGATGTTGGGGATGCAACAAAGTAATACTTCCCTAGCAAAGTTAAAGCAACTTAGTTATTGGATTATGTTATACTAGAGTAAGTATACAAACCATGGTTGATTTGGGTATTGCAACTTCAAATTCATAAATCAAGGAGTCTTTAAGTACTATTCTGATCAAAGTCCTTTAATACACATGATGTGATAACGGGAGATCGACATAAATTCTAAAACATGCAAATAAGTTGCAAATGACAATAATAGTCAAAGAACTCTCTAATAGTTTTAGGAGTACATTTTTTTGCACTTCATGGAAAACTCCAAGAGAAGTTGAAAGGATAGTTGCGTATGATGAACTTCATTAACCAAAATTGTAACAATAATTGCAGAATATAAATTTATAGTATAATATAGAAATTGTCTACTATAATTGCATGCATGAAAATTCACTTCCCAAAAGAAAATGTAATTCCAAACTTTAAACTCCAACAATACCAGAGCCCCCCAAAAGACACTAATCTAGATAGCAAGTGTTCTATGTCATTCAAATAGATTTTTTTGTGTAAAAATTTAAACACATCTAATAGTCAAAGAAAAAAAAAATACTTGACATGGTTTGTAATTAATTAATGAACCGAAGAACAAATGAGGGGCTAAATGGTCTATTTCCAATTATGAGTCTTAATAATAATAAATTAGTTTATTACATATCATTAATACATTTTTCTTTGTCTAGCTGCATTTAGTAATTCTGCCCTCAACGTTTAAATTACCACTAATTTCATGTTGCCAAAGACAGAAATACCTTTCAGAGATGAACCATCATCAATTCATCATGGGAAGAGAGAAACAATTTACAATTAATTTTCATAGTATCCAAACAATGACCAAAGCTCATGAACACAAAAGACATAGAAGAAAAATTGTCAAGTAAAAAGCAAGAAATAAAACTCTTGGAACAGATAAAGAGTTGCTGATGGAGGGATTAATACCACAAATATTGTCTTTTTTTTAAATTACCACCAATATGGTGGTTTAAAAATAATTGACACATATATTGTGTGTTGATAGCATCGTATTTGCACGTGTTTTCACTCTGGTTTCCTGTCCATTTTGGCTCGAATTGATTGTTCCGTGGCCTATTTTACGCTAGGTTGTGTTGTTTTGTCGTATTTCAGGTCCTAGCAAGTAAAGAGGTGCATAGGCGCAAGTTTCGGGTCATTTGGAGGTCAGATGGCAATTCACAGGAGGAATTACGGGCAGCCCCTGCCAAATTACGACCGTAATTGGTCAGGGCATGCCCGTAAATCAATTGCCGAGCCTTTTCCCCAGAAATTCTTCTCGGTGCTAAAATTACGGGCAAGGCCTCCAAGAATTACGACCGTAATTCCCAAATTACTGGCGGTAATTGGGAAATTACGGGCGTATCTCCTCCTCCTTCAGCTTAATTGAAACGTGCGTTTTGGAGCGAATTACGGGCAGGACGTAATTACGGCCGTAATTCCAGCCCGTAATTCGCCCAGAGTCGGGTTTTTTGGAGGCAGATTCGAGCCAAGGAAGAGGGTATTCGAGTTTCTAGGAGCAAAAACAGAGTTTTAGAGAGAGAAAGAGCGAAGAACAAACCCTAGGAGCTATTTTGGAGTGGATTTCTCATCATTGAAGCCCAGATTACGTCCCTAGGAGTGAAGATTGACATCCCAGAGCAGATTTCCTCATCTTTATGAGTATGACTACTCTGATTTCTATTTTCCTTTCTCTCTCTATGGAGTAGAACCTTTCTCTCACTTGGGTATGAAGAACCCTAGTTTCCTTGTGTTAGGGATTTGATTGTAATGACTTGGGATGATATTACTGTTTGATTTTAATCGAATGATGCATGTTTATTGAATTGATTGGAGTCTGATCAGCTTTTCTTCAATTTCTGCTGCAACCTGAGATAGATAGAATCTGATTAGGTTGTTAGAGCCTCTTCATTCGATAGTAGGAGATTGGCTATACGAGAGTTAGCCAGTTTACTGCTTTGTACTGGAATTCAATTCCAGTAGTGGAGTTCTGTGCTTTTTGCTTCAGCTTTCTATCCCGGTGAAGACTAGTCGTCTGCCGGGTAGTTAGACTGAGAGGGCTTGGTCAGCTTAAGAGATTCCAAGCTACTGTCGGAATCTTCCGCAGTCTAATCAACAGTGAATCAACCCAGGGGAATTACAATTGAACCTAACTAAGGGGCTAGGGGGACTCATTCCCGAGTGACTCTTACCTGCTTTGAAAACCGAACCATTTCCTGCTTTCTTACTGCTTTTGCTTTAAACAACAATCACTCGAATTAGTTTGCTAGATAATAGATAATCACGGAGTAAGCAGTAGATCTAGACCCCGGGTTTGATAATTGAACTTGCGTGTTACTGCATTCCCGGACTGCGATTACACTTGGTCGTAGTTTGGTGTTGTGTTTTGGCGTGTCAAGTTTTTGGCGCCGTTGCCGGGGACCCCTCTAGGTTATTGGGGAAACGTGAGAATTTGTTACTCTAGCTTTTATTTATTGCATTTTATCTCTTCCACCTGTGTGCCTTCACGGGTTGCTTCTTCTGATTGTGTGCAGGTAGTGCATGACCCGTAACCAGTCGGGAGAACTACTACTATTAGACCAGGAGCTTGAACGAACTTGCAGGAACTTCAAGCGGGCTCTAAAGGCGCGACTGGCTGCGGAGGAGGAGCTATCACAGCTGCAGTTAGAAGAAGAAGAAGAAGAGATGGCTGATCCAGAGAACCGTGATGTGATCACCCGAGGAGCAGACCATGGGATCCTACTGGACCGCTAGGCTGCGGACATGAGGTCACCCATTCAACACCCTCATGTCCCAGCCAACAATTTTGAGGTGAGCACCTCAGTGAATCACCATGCTGCGCGGTTCAGTAGTGTTCCGTGGTAAGGAGGGAGAGTGCCCCGATCACATCTCAGGCAATTCCACGAGCTCATCGATGGAATCAAGACCAATGGGGTACCAGCAGATGCCATCCAGCTGAGGTACTTCCCATTCACTCTGGAGGGGCAGGCCAAGGAGTGGCTAGACACTCGACCTCCGTGCTCCATCACCACGTTCGCCAACCTGGCGGACAAGTTCCTCACCCGCTACCATCCTCCATCCAAGACAGCTGACCTGCAGAAGCAAATTACACATTTTGCTCAGGATGAGGATGAGACCATCAGGGATGCTTGGGAGAGGATACACCAGTCTCTTTCTCAGGTGTCCCAATCATGGTTTCAATGATGCATTCAAGGTGGGAACCTTCTATCACGCCCTCTTCCCGGAGGACAAGCAGCTGATTGATTCGGTTTGTGGCGGGAACATGCTGACAAAAACCCCGCCACAGCTGAATCAACTCTTTGAGGAGATGGCGGAGAACGGGTACGACTGGGGCACTGCCAGGAGATCGAGACGAGCACCAGGACGGGGTGTGCATGCTGTGGGCACCCAGTCATCTGATTTGGTGCAGGTGGTATCGAAGCTGGTTTCAGCTATCGATCGTTCTGGTTTGATTGCAGGTACAGGACAGCCGCAGGCGATGCACTGCCAGTGGTGTGAGAGCTCTCATCACACCGTGGAGGACTGTCAGGCGATGAGGGAGTCGTCTACTCCCCAGGAGCAGGTGGACTTCATCGGGAATGCCAGGCGCTTTGACCCCTACAGCAACACCTATAACGAGGGGTGGCGCCAGCATCCTAACTTTTCTTGGGCTGGGCCAAATCCCAGACCACCAGCTCCCCAGGGA